TGTTGTCCCTAGGGTGTTCACATACACAGTGTTTTCAATGTGATGGAAACACAGTAGATAGAGCTGACTTCCTTCCCTCCCAACCTGCAGACTGCTTTATACCTGCTGCCCACCCCCTTATTGGGGCTGGCTGGGGAGGAGCAGCATGGAGGGGATGGAGGTATGGAAAGGCCCCCTCCTGGTGGGTAGTAACTGCTCCCTGCCCAAGCCCAGGGCCACCATCTTCAGTAGGATGACCCTCCCACCAGCCCTTGTTCTCTTTCTGGGCTTCATACGTCCTTTTGCTGTGGGCTGGGTTATGGCCCTGGGGACTGGCACTCTCAGCGCTGCCCTCCCTCTGCCCACATTTGGGAAAGCACCCTTGGTAAATGCTCCTGAAAGCACCCTGTTTTGAGTTTCCCCTCATTTCCTGCTTGGGCCTGACCATACCTCTGTCCTGGTTATTGGGGACTGGCAGTGGTAAGCAAGGTCAGTGAAATGTGCTGCATGTCTATGATGATGCATAGTAGGGACCTGAGGAGGGGATGCAAGTTTGGCCAAGAGGCCTCCCAGGATGGCTCTGGATCTTCTGTCTCCCTCAGGTGTCCTTCGAGGTTGTGAGGGAGCAGCCAGGGCTAAGGGGATGAGCACAGGGATGAGTGATGCAGGCAGAGGTTGGATGTGTGCACAGCTACAGGGGCAAGCAGCTGGAGAATGAGCAGGCAACCAAGCCACAGAGGGAAGGCCAGGGAACCAAGGGCTTGCCCAATCACACAGGGGACTTTGCGGCAGACACTGAGCTGGAAGGGGGCCCTGAGGTCTGTGAGGAGGAAGAAGCGGTCTGACCTGGGCTCAGAGGACAAGGCAGGGCCAGGACAGAGTGGGCAACCCACTTGTGGGCTTTTGCCGTATCAGCGCAATGGTTGGCAGCTGGATCAGTGGGCATGGGTACAGGGGAGTCATGGTGTTGCAGGTGGGGCTCCATATCCTACAGAAATGTGAGTACCAAGAGCAAGAAGTCGGGGTGACCTCCAAGCACCTGAGGCAGAGTGCTCGAGCTCCCAGCTCTGTGGTGGATGGGGAAGGGATGAAGTTTGGGGGTAAAAGCAGGGTCTGTGATGAACTAGGTTTGGGCACAGTTAGATGGAGGCCTTGTCCTGAACCCATGCTCAAGTTGGGAATCCCCAAGGCAGGGTTGGGGGAGAACAAGGCAGAAACATGGGGTCCCTGGCTGAAGCTTTGGCTTCTCATAGTGTGGCCAACTTGAGCATGGAGGTCCCCATGTGTGACACAGCACAAGGTACTCAACAGCCTGTGCCCAAGTGTTTCCTTATCTACTGTGTCACCACAGTAGGAACAGCGTACAGACAGCAGGAACAGCCTAGGGACTTGGGCTGGACCCAGTGGTGGCTCCAGAGAAGGACCAGGGATGCTTACTGGGGCCACACTGCAGAGCCCTCTGTGCCAACCAGTTCCTTCTGGCCTCTCCTTGTGAAAATGGCATTGTTGCTGTGTCACAGAAAGATGACCCTGGTACCCCCCAACTGCCACAGTTGAGTTTCACTGCTATCAAATGTTCATTCTGGGCTTATGGTGCAAAGAGCCCCTCCCTCTGCATTACTGAGAAAGAAAGGGAATCTGCAGACAGGTGCTTTCTAGGCTTCTCTGGGCTGTCTTTGAGTCTGTAACTTCTTTTAATGTTGCGTGAAGCTGGGCCATTAAGAAGCTGGACTCTGTTTTCAAGGAGCTCGATGGCTTTGGTAGGGGGCTATCAGGCCCTCAGTCTGAGGGCCCAGAGGCCTGAATGGTGAGCAAGTAAGAGCCAATTCCTGGCACTCTGTTTTATGTTAACACATCTATGAGGATTTGTTCTGTTTTGAAACATATGGATCCACTATATTTGAAGACTTGAAATCTTCACTAGAGGGTCTTTTTAAAGAAATTCTTAGAGACAGGGTCTCATTAAGTTGCCCAGGTTGGCCTCAAACGCTTGTTCCTCCAGCCTCAGCCTCCCAAATAGCTGGCCATGATACACAGCTGAGACCATATGCATTTCTAACCAGCCATCTGGCATAGCACTGAAGTCATTTATGTAAGCCAGGGTGCTTGCCTCTAGTTGTCCCATGAGCTGGGGTGCTGGCTAGCCATCTTTGGTTGGGTATCAAAGTCAGCTTCTCCCAGAGGCTGGCGCTGAAGATGGCAAACATCCCCAGATCCTATGACATAAACCCATCACAAGCAGTTGTCTGTTGGTTTACTGCAAGGCCTTTCTGAGCCATAGGTTAATATATTAATGAAGACAGTGGCTGCTCCCCTACATTAAATAATGACTATGAATAATTGGAAGAAAAAATCCTCACAGCTCCTTGCAGGGTGTGAGATTGATGAGAATGGATTGCCCTGCCAAGTGATTAAAAAATATTACAACCTTTTATTCCTTTGCAGCATGGACAAGTGTGTATTCATTTCTATGTTATTGCAAAAAAACCTCTTACAATGACTCTGAGCTAAAAACATATTAAATCATCACTTTAATTCTATCTAAACACTGGGCTGAGATTCTGTCACTAATCTCGTTTAATCTTGGCATCTCATCTCCATCCAATATTTTATTTCTGTTTGGGTCATATTAGTCAATTGGGCATAAGCTACAGTATTTTTTTTATCTTACTAGTTTATTTTGGTAAAGTAGTAAATTATGAGAATTATAATAATTCCTTAGTTTATATACATCTCACAGTCACCTATTAACTTGGCACTTTGAAAAGTGGTCCAAATTCAATAATAGCATTAACATTTCCTCATTTCCAGAGAGCTGAAGTGGTCTGGGGTATTTTGGACTTGTTTTTCTCTGAGTATTCTATTTGGGACATTACTTCTATGTGCAAATGGATAAAGAGCCGTGCGGAGTATGACAATGAGCTTGCAGGCTGAGGAGAAGTTTGGTGGGCCTGGGATGGTCTTGGGGGGGGGAGGCAGGGGGGGGGCTGGGCACACCCACTTGTCCCCCGAACTTGTCCCAGGGAGGTCATATGAGCCAGCAAGTCTTTCTTCTGCTCGTGCTTCTTCCCCTCCCATCTCTCATGGCCATAGCCATGTGCGCCTGGCAGAGGCTCCTAAATGCCAACAAGTTGGTCTGGGAAGCTCTGAGGCAGACTCTAATTTCACAGCTCTGTCCCAGTCCACACACTTGTCTAGGTTCAGAAACTGTACAGCATCAGAGACCTATAGCCCACAGCTCAGGTGCCAATGCTCAGCAGCCACATTCAGGAAAGCAGTGATGGAAGTAGTGTGGTCTGAATTAATCCTCAGTGACATGGGGACACTGGGGTCTTTTCTAGATCAGCTCCTATTTTCTGCACCGTGATCTCACTGGAAGGTTAAACACCATCAGGAGTGGCCTGGGCATGGACTCAAAGAAGGAAGTTAGCTGGCTTCTGTGACATGCTGCTGTGCCAAGGGAAGATTACACAGGACAGTAGGCACTGTCCTGCCAGTAGTCCCACGGGCCAGTATCCACCAAGTGCAGCCTCCGGCCACAGGGCAGGGTGAGGAAGTCTTGAAGTGCCTCAGTATGGCTGTAGCCTGGATGACTCAGCCCAAGCTTGCATTGATCATGAACCTCTTTTCTGAGCAGTACATTCATGATTTAGTTTGTTGCTGTAATCAGTTTGTTACTATAGGAGAGCCCTTCATCTCCCCATCCTGGCCTAGGACCCACTGCCAGGATCACAAGTTCCTTTAATCCATAGCAAACAAACATTATGACTTTTTTGCTAAAGGCAAAATTATTTTATATCACAGTCTTGGTTTAAGAGTTGTGCAGTTACAGGCCCCAGAGATATATCAACTCTTATTTTATTTCTTACCATTTTTTGTAATGAAGGTTTAGATCTAAAATGTGCCCCCGAAGTCTCATGAACTTGTGACCACCTACCTCAGCCTCCTAAAGTGCTGTGGTTACAGGCAAGTTCTACCCCGCACCCCAGCTCATCTTAACCATTTTTAAGAAAATTCATGATTTTTCTTGGGCTTCCCTCCAGACTTTGTCTTTAATTTCTAGGAGTTGAATGACAGTGTGCCTTAGCATAGATTTCTTTCAGTTCATCCTGCTTGGAACATGTTCTGCTTCTTGAACCTGTAGGTTTGTGACTTTTATGAAATTGATTAAGTTTCCAACATCATTTCTCTGAAGACTCTTATTCTCCTATCCTGCTGGAATGTGGATATGAATGTTGAGCCTTCTGTCCTTTTTCCTAGTTTATTTTCTGTTGTGCTCAGAGGAAGTAAATTCTACTGATTTCACTTCAACTTCACTGATACTATCCTTTGTCATCTCTGTGTGTTCTCGAGCCTATGCAGTGAGTTTTCTATTTTGGTTATTCCATTTTCAGTTCCATAATATTCATCAGTTGTTTTTAAACAACTTCTTTTTTTTGCTGAAGTTTCTAGGTTTTTGTTTCCAGAGAACTTGCAATGCTCACTGAAACATGTTTATTTATGTACTTAATTACTGGTGTTGAAAATGGAGCTGCAAACCCACTGTACCTCAGCCCCTGAAGCACTTTTGTTGACAGTTACTTTCAACCTTGTCTGTTAAATCTAATGTCTGATTAATCTTGGCATTCCATCAGCTGATTGGTGTCCCTACTCAAGGTGTGAATCTCCAGGTTCTCAGTATGATGGGTGATTTTTTTATTGTGTCCTGGTTACTTTGTTACCACTGAGAAGGGTATCTAGTCACCAGGGAGAAGAAACCAGTGAGAAGGGATTCCCTTCTTGCTCTTGCCAAAGTGAAGACAGAGTGGGGTGCAGGGGTGCCTTGTGCAAGAGGGTCAGGCTCTGCCCCTAGTAGAAGCACTGAAAGAGCTGAACACAGTCTGGCCAGCTGGTGGCCTGGATTGGGGCCCACGCAGGGAGGTAGGAGGGAGCGCTGCAGGGGCCCTGGCCAGCGACCAGGTCAGCGGGTGGCACAACTGGGGAGAGCTGCTAATCTCATCTCTTTTTCTCACTCTTTTTAGGAAAAGGAAAACAAAGTCGAGCACACAGTTGCCAATCAAGCCAGGCCCTGAGCCTTTGGTGCGTCCTTGAATAGCAGCAAACTTGTCTACTATATCTGCCAGGGTGCCTCACACCAACCTATTTATTTTTGCTAATGAGACAGAAGTAGAAGATTAGGAGTTTACAGTGTTAGGAGTTATGCTTTGGAAGCCAACTGACTTAATCAATGTCCAGGGTCAAGGCTTTCCCCACCATCGCCCAAGTCTTTGTTTGACTGTAATGAGCTGCAGGTGAATTAGCCACATTTGAATTCAAGCAGAAGAGGACATTCATGACTTCAGGATAAAGCTTATCCCTGACAATTCTCAAAATGCGTCTGATTTACTTTCACGAAGACTACCCAATGCTTTTGAAATGAGTCTCTCAGAAAAGGAGTGTTGTATGGCTTCCTGCCAATGACATCACAAGAGAAGTGGACTCAGTAACTTCAAAAGTGATTTCTGATTGAATGCTGCATGTTTATTTGCATGGTTTTGCATTTCCAATTCCAGACTGAATTCTATCTCCATGCTGAGCCTCATGTCAGACACTGGAGATGAGCTGCACAGACAGCATCAGAGTGAGATGCACAGTACTGAGCGTTTACCTTCACAGAGGCTGGCACTCTGGGAGCACAAACATTAGAACATGTTATTTAATTTGGTGGTAGAATCTCTTCTCTGAGACCATCAGGCACATACATACACTTTCTTTTTTTTTTAGAATTTTTGTCGTAATTTTTAATTCAACTTTTTGGGGGTTTGTTTCTTTTTATTGAGTTTATTGGTACATTCTAGATATACAGTACAGCTACATTTATTACTGGGATCCTGTACCTTTACATGACAGGTCTTGGTTCTCATTTTTTCCCCTTGTCCCTGCCCTCCCTTCACCCCCCCCATTTACAAACACTTTATTTCCATTTTTTCATTTTCTCATATTTTTTTCTTTTTTCCTTATTCCCTTTCCCCTACTCTTCCCACTTTCCCTACATCTTTAGCTCTTTTCTTCCTATTTCACTTTGTTAATTAACTGAAGGCTGAGGTGAAGGTGGAGTAAGTTTTGAGGTCTCAGTCTTTAACTGTTTATTTCTTTGAAGAGAAAGTTGCCGAGGCTGACCTCAAACTTGCAATCCTCCTGCCTTAGACCCCCAGGTAGCTGGGATAACAGGCATATGACACCAAGCTTATCTTTCACCATTTTTTGATATAGGGTCTCATTGCTTATTTCAGACTGGCCTTGAACTCACTATGGAGCCCAAGCTGGCTTCAGCTCACTATGATCCTCCTGCCTCAGCCTCCAGAGTGCTAGGATTTATAGGCATGTGTCACCATCCTCGGCCATCTTTCAACTTTTAAAACAACCAAATGAAAAATAAAAACTGACATTTAACAAAACCATAAGACAGTGAAAAGAATTTAGAATTCAAGTGAATTTACACTGTAGATGTAAAGTATCATTTAGCCCAAATGCTCACTTTTCTACAATTCTCTACAATTGAGACAGTTATTATTTGCCTACACTGCAGCTATCAAGTTATAGTCTCAGACAATATAAATAACATACACAGTAAAGGAAGAACATAACACAGTGCACATAAAGCAACACAACACAGTGCCATCCACCATGAGATAACAGAGTAATGCACATGAGGTGACCTAAGATAACAACTTGACATAACATGGAAATGTAATATGACATCATGTTTCTAACAGGGCCTCTGCTACCTATGCAGGTTCGTTCCAATCTTCCTAAACAGGCAGAAGCCTGGAAACACAACATAATCACTCGAGTGCTGGGCACAGAGGCAGCCCAAGGTCACCCCAGATGCTATAATAGTGTCTTTTTTTTTTTTTTTTTGTACCAGGGATCAAACTTGGGACCTCGCACTTGCAAAGCAGGTGGCGGAACCACTGAGCCAAATCCCCAGCCCTATAATGGAGTCTTTATATTGAGAAACCAATCAAAGCCAAGGCACCTTTGTGTGGCAGACAGAGCCATGAAGTTTTGATAATGTGAGCCACAAGCGTTACAGGCAGACCAGAGCATGATTACAAAATATTTTTTCAAATCAGCAGTTTTCAGAGTGCTCACAATCAACATTTATCAATGCAGTCAACTCAGAGAAAAACCTCTATATGTATTTAGAACAGCAAAACATGTTCTGGAGCATTCTAAATGCATAAATCGCAGGTGGATATTTTTCTACAAGCTGGCCCGATATAACTCATGCAGATATATCTCCTCGCCTTCAGAGCGCTCCTCAGTGGTATGCATTACAGGGATGTCAGGTGGGATTTATAAGAATGAGGATTTCTGCAGGTGGCATTATTGATGGCTGACGGAGGGTTCACCAGACACTGGGAATCGGAAGTACTTCTGTAAAGTCTTCTCTTCCCTTGAAAGCACTATAAATCTACAAATAATCTCAAATTCACAAGCAAGCCTTTTATGCAATAAGTTGATAGCAAATACATTACTGAAGAGACACATAATTACCTTAAAATCTACCACAGTTATAAATGTGTTATAGCTCCCAAATTATAATTTAATTTTATAGTAGTAAAAATATAACATTTAAAAAAATCTTTTACCCTCTTGTATATAAAGCTAGACTGTTTATAAATAAATACCCTAGACTGTGCAGGAAGCCATTTTTTTTTTTTGTACCAGGGATCCAACTCAGGTCCTTGTGCTTGCAAGGTAAGCAGTGGAACCACTGAGCTAAATCCCTGGCCCTCCCCCATGTTTTCTAGCTATGTAAAAAGCAGATTTTGATGAACAAGTGAAAAAAGTTTTAGTATCCCTTTCTGTACACATGGAAGCAGCAACCATAGAAATCTCCAGCTTTGCAGATCATTTCTAGGGTCAGGCCATTGTTTCCTCTTCACCTGTGTGGACAGAAGAGGATGAAATGGAGCTGGGCTATGTAGACAGGTGCCTTCCAGCTGTAGGTTAGTTTCCAGCTTGGAAAGTATCCCTCAAAGGGGTACTTTATGTCTGTTTCTGACTCTTCATATTTACATCTACCCGTACTACATAACTAGATCGGTACCGTAGCTCTATTCGTATAGATAATTATACTGCATTAACTATAATATATTCATAACTTTTTCCTATGTCCACATTTCTACATCTACATAACTGCATTCATATCTATGCCAATATCTGGAACTACACCCACGTCTATAACTCTCTCATACACATGGCATTTAATGTTGACTCTTCCTAGTGTTACTTTGGTCTCAACCTCCCTCCCTCCCCGATCCTTTTGAATCCAACAGGAACAGAAAAGAAAGCTCTGCACTTGAAGCTGATGCCTGCAGCTTAGAACCACCTGTCATTTATTACCTGTGCAATCCTGGCTATGCTATATAATCTCATTATGTTTTCCCATTTGTAACTGTGAAGCAGGTAACATTTGCACTGTGGTTCATGTTGCGATGTTTATACTGGGCAGACCCACAGAGTACAGGAGGGAGGAGTCTAGCCACTTTTTCTCCAGCTCTGGCAAGGCTGTTGCATGGACAAGCACTAAGCCTGTATGGTCTCAGAGCCTGTTTTCTCATTTATTTTTTGGTTTGTTTTGTTTTGTTTATACCAGGGATCAAACTCAGTACCTTGCACTTTCAAGGCAAGTGGCGGAACCACTAAACTAAATCTCTGTTTCCTTATTTATGAGTGTCAGTTCACTATAAAGGTAAGATGCAGACTTCTACAGGTACTGTCTCGCCAGCCACTAGGGAGGCTGAGGCAGGAGGATCACAAGTACGAGACTAACCTTGGCAACTTAGTGAGATCCTGTCTCAAAATAAAAAGAGCCGGGATGTAGCTCAGTGGTAGTGTACTTGCCTAGCATGTGCAGAGCCCTGGGTTAAATCCCAACAGTGAAAAAGAAGGAAGAGAGGGAAGAAAAGGGGGAGGGAGGGAGACAGAGCTCTTAAGATCTGTACCAAATCTGAACCTGTGGTTAAAGAAAAATTTAAGTAGGACCAAGATCACCTTTGGTCCCAAATATTCCAATACTCTTATTCTTGACAGGCACCTTCTCTCAGCCCTTTCAGGGCTACGAGTTGGTTCCATTAGGACTATAAACTTGCAGCATGGCTCCAGCGCCCCCTGGCTCTGCTAAGGTTCACAGCTGTTGCCCTCCTGTCCCATTATGTGATGCTGGCACAGCCCTGGTCAGACCTGGGTGCGTTAATGATACTTTCTGCACAAGCAGTGTTTCTCAATAGGTGCTGTCTGGGCGGCTTCTGTGCCGTAGTTTCAAGTGTGCAGGGCGGAGCGCCCTTTTTGTGGTTATTTCTGCATCTATTGAAGGGTTCATCTCTCAGCACCATCTACACGAAGTTACAGGAGTGATTTTTTTTTTCCCCTTCCCGAGTCACAGCTCAGGAAGACAAAACTCCTACTGAATAATGTCACGGTAAGCAACCAGATACAACACAAGGTTCTCAGCTAGATTCTATTTGTGTGTGTGTTTGGCTCACCGCTTTACAGTCACAGAAATCTTCCAGAAGCACACTCCTAAGAAATCAGCCAGTCTGGCCTGAAACCCATGCTTTTCTGATCCTCCCAGGTCACATGATCTGTGTGCCTTGTTACTGGCAAGCAGCTCTTCAGCTCCACTCTAAGTGGTGTTTAGGTACTAGAGATTTGTTACATGTTTACAGGTGAGCACAAGGCAGTGTAACCCGGGTGTGACCACAGCTTTGGACATCCTGCTTGCGAAGTTTGTTTCACAGTGGTGACCCCAATGACTTCCTGAGTAGAGTGGTCCTAGGCCATTCACTGGAAGTAGGTTTAAAATGCTGTAAAGGGGACATGCGTTCAGGATGTTAGGAGCACTACAGTGCCAGTGCAAAAGGTGGCTGAGGTGCCTGTCAGTGAGATGATCGCTTCAGTGGGCCTCACCAGCTCCTGCAGCACCTCCGGGCTAGGTATTTGCTGTGTCTGGGAGGTGTCAGCAACCGTCACGCCCCATCTTCCACTCTTCTGGGCAGCTTAGGTGACATGGACAGCTATGACAAGACCTACATGCTGTGGTGGTTGTGCCCCACCCTGGGCAGAGATGGTGGTGGTGAGGGGGTGGGATGGAGCTCCTGTTCCCGGAGAGACTTTACATGCTTTGTGCACAGGATCCACTTTGGCCCAGACCCAGGGACTGACAGAATCATGACACTTCACTTAAAGATGCTTAAGTGTTCTAAAAATGCCAATTCTCTCTAAGTTAACTCCAACCATGTACCAAGAGGATTTGGGAGTGATGTAACGAGAAAGGATGTTGCAAATCATCTGGAAAATAGACATTTGGGAATAACCAAGAAGCATGAGCTCAGGCACAGGGCCGCTTGTGTCTGGGGCCAGCACTGGGCCTGGAACCCCTAGGTAGCATGTTTTCTAAGGGCCCAGGTGTGAATTAACCTCCCATGCCCAGGGAAGGGGGACTTCCAGCTGGCCATCCTTCCCAGATGCAGGGGACCCATCCTCACCTGAATGTTCCAGAACTGGGGTCTAGGCTGCCTCTGGGGGTGCTGGGAGAGGCCCGAGTCCTCCTGCGTCAAATCCCTGCCTCCTGGGACCCTGAAAATAGGACCTACCACCTGTACTGCCAGCTTAGGCCCTGTCCCTGGCAGCACCTCATGGAATCTTTCACAGGGCAGGAGCCCTGGGGATGGTGATGGAGCCTCTTCTAGGAGCCTCCAACTTGTTCCAAGGGGCTGGGCCCCAGGACCTACACAAATGTGTGG